CAGGGCCTGAGGCCTTTGGAGGTACGGAGCTCCCGGGAATGAAGAGAGGGATGAGGCCAGACTCTGGCTTGGGGTCGAGAGAAAGGGGTAGCAGCGCGGTCACCGGTTCCAGGCAGGGCACTGCGGAGGCCCCAGCGGGCCCACGACGCGCGCATGGATGCGCATGCGCCCCGTCCGCCCAGATGCGCACGCGCAGGAGCCCCGACGCGCCGGTCCACAAAGGCTCAGGCCAGAAAACCCGGTATCACCAGCCCTGGCGCAGCGGCATCTCCTACCTGATGCCGCCTGGCCCCGGCTGCGAGTCAGGAAGAAGACAAAGCCGACTAGCAGAGCCGCCGCTACCAAGTACCACACGGGCCCCACCATGACGAGGCCCTCCGTGCAGAACCACTGCGTCCACCCTAAGGCCGGAATCTCCTAGGCCCCGCCTCCATTTCCCAGTCTAGACTCCGCCCACTATTCGGAGCCCCGCCCAGCCGCACTTCACAGAGAAGCTTTAATGTAAAACATTAAAATGAGTTTGGGGGGCGTAAAAAAACCCACAATGTTAAGAGTAAATTATTGCAGATGGTATGTCCAGTAGAAAACATCTATGTATTTTTTTTTGAAACAGAGTCTCTGTGGCCCCGGCTGGAGTGCGGTGGCGCAATCTCGGCTCACTGCAACCTCCACCTCCTGGGTTCAAGCGATTCTCCTGCCTCAGCCTCCCGAGTAGCTGGGACTACAGGCGCCCGCCACCACGCCGGGCTAATTTTTGTATTTTTAGTAGAGATGCGGTTTCACTATTTGGCCGGACTGGTCTCGAACTCCTGACCTTGTGATCCGCCCACCTCGGCCTCCCAGAGTGCTGGGATTACAGGCGTGAGCCACCGCGCCCGGACTCTGTATGTTTTAAAATCACTAAATTTTAGTGATTTAAAATCCCACATAGTGTTTATGGAAACAACCTTGGAAAAAGTACGAAGAGGCTTGGGACTGATGCACACCAACTTCAGGACAGCGATTGCCTCTAGGAGGAGGGAAGCGGGTTGGGGTTAAGCCCTGAGCTTTAGCTGTATCTGTGACATTGAATTTCTTTTTCTTCCTCCCTCCCTTCCTTCCTTCCTTCCTTCCTTCCTTCCTTCCGGAAGGGAAGGGGAGGGCAGTACTGGAATTTATGAAGCTTTTTGTATGCATAATAACAGAAGTAAAGATTTCAGGAGCCAGGCACAGAGGCTCGTCTGTTAACCCAACACTTTGGGAAGTCTAGGTTGGGGGATCCCTTGAGCCTAGGAGTTCAAGACCAGCCTGGGCAACATGATGAAACCCTGTCTCTACAAAACAAAATACAAAAATTAGCCAGGTGTGGTGGCATGCACCTGTAATTCCAGCTACTTGGGAGGATGAGGTGGGAAGATCACCTGAGCCCAGGGAGGTCGAGGCTGCAGTGAGCCATGATCATGCCACTGCACTCCAGCCTAGGTGATAGAGTGAGACCCCATCTCAGAAAAATAAAAAATAAAATAAATAAAAATAAAAATAAATTCAGGACCATTGAACAACAGTGAGAAAGGGGTTTGAAAAAGTATGGGCCAGGCAAGGTGACTCTTGCCTGTAATTCTAACACTTTGGGAGGCCGACGCAGGTGGATCACTTCAGGTCAAGAGTTCAAAACCAGCCTATCCAACATGATGAAATCCCATCTTTACTAAAAATACAAACAATTAGCGGGGCATGGTGGCACACGCCTGTAATCTCAGCTACTTGGGAGGCTGAGGCAGGAGAATCACTTGAACCCAGGATGCGGAGGTTGCAGTGAGCCAAGATTGCACCACTGCACTCCAGCCTGGGCAACAGAGAGAGACTCCGTCTCAAAAAAAAAAAAAAAAAAAAAAAAAAAAAAGGAGAAACAGGTTCCTTATATGAGGATTTCCATCAAATGAATGTTTCTGCAGCTTCTGGAGTTCTGCTTAAAATGTGTTTCTCTAATTTGCCTTTTTTGGTTTTTGACTTGTACCACCTCTTGAGACACAGAAGCAACTTCATCTGGCCTGGGATCTGAAGAGAAACTGCTTCTCGTCCTGAACGATCAATTCCTTGGCTTTAGAAAGTTAATTAGGCTGCGTGTGGTGGCTCGTGCCTGTAATCCCAGCACTTTGGGAGGCTGAGGTGGGCGGATCACCTGAGGTTGGGAGTCTGAGGTCAGCCTGACCAACACGGAGAAACCCCGTCTCTATTAAAAATACAAAATTTTTTAGTAGACTGTGATGGTGCATGCCTGTAATCTCAGCTACTTGGGCGGCTGAGGCATGAGGATTGCTTGAACCTGGGAGGCAGAGGTTGCAGTGAGCCGAGATCGTGCCATTGCACTCCAGCCTGGGCAATGAGAGTGAAACTCTGTCTCAAAAAAAAAAAAAAAAAAGGTTATCTAAAGGTTATCTAAGGCTGGCACGATGGCTCACGCATATAATCCCAGCACTTTGGGATGCTGAGGTGGGTAGATCACTTGAGGTCAGGAGTTCAAGACCAGCCTGGCCAACATGGTGAAACCCCGCCTCTACTAAAGATACAAAAATTGGTCGGGTGTGGTGGCTCACGCCTGTAATCCCAGCACTTTGGGAGGCCAAGGTGGGTGGATCGTGAGGTCAGTAGATCAAGACCATTCTGGCTAACACAGTGAAACCTTGTCTCTACTAAAAATGCAAAAAAATTAGCCGGGCGTGGTGGTGGGCGCCTGTAGTCCCAGCTACTCAGGAGGCTTAAGCAGGAGAATGGCGGGGACCCAGGAGGCAGAGCTTGCAGTGAGCCGAGATTGCACCACTGCACTCCAGCCTGGACGACAGAACGAGACTGTCTCAAAGAAAAAAAAAAAAGAAAAAGAAAAATACAAAAATTAACCGACCATGGTGGTGCATGCCTGTAGTCCCAGCTACTCAGGAGGCTGAGGTGGGAGGAGTGCTCGAACCTGATAGGCAGAGGTTGCAGTGAGCAGGGACCATGCCACTGTACTCCAGCCTGGGCAACAGAGCAAGACTCCATCTCAAAAAAAAAAAAAAAAAAAGGAAAGAATGAAAAAGAAAGTTATCTATGGAATTGTAATTACGGATGTCAGTTGTGATCTTTTTGTTTGTTGGTTTTTTGAGACAGGGTCTCACTTGCATCACCCAGGCTGGAGTACAGTGGCACACTTGGCTCATTGCAGCCTCGACTTCCCAGGCTCAGGTGATCCTCCCACCTCAGCCTCCTGAATAGCTATGACTACAGTTGTGTGCCCCCAAGCCTAGCTAATTTTTTGTATTTTTTGTAGAGACTGGGTTTCACCATGTTGTCTAGGCTGGTCTTGAACTCCTGGGATCAAGTGATCCACTGTACCCAAGCTAGTTGTGATCTTACATTACAGAACACCTACTATGTACCAGGCACTGGGATTTACGAATGAGAGGTGAGGCTGGGCACGGTGGCTCAAGCCTGTAATCTCAGCACTTTGGGAGGCTGAGGTGGCAGGGAGGAATCTCCTGAGGTCACAAGTTCGAGACCAGCCTGGTCAACATGGTGAAACCCCCACCTCTACTAAAAATACAAAAATTCACTGGGCGTAATGGTGCATGTCTCTAATCCCAGCTAGTGGGGAGGCTGAGGCAGGAGAATCCCTTGAACCCGGGAGTCAGAAGTTGAAGTGAGCCGAGATTGTGCCACTGCACTCAAGCCTGGGCGACAAGAGCGAGACTCCATCTCAAAACAACAACGACAACAAAAAACGCAGTGGCTCACAGCTGTAATCCCAGCACTTAGGGAGGCCAAGGTGGGCAGATCACGAGGTCAGGAGTTCGAGACCAGCCTGGCCAACATGGTGAAACCCCGTCTCTACTAAAAATGCAGAAATCAGATGGGCATCGTGGCAGGTGCTTGTAGTCCCAGCTACTTGGGAGGCTGAGGCAGGAGAATCGCTTCAACCCAGGAGACGGAGGTTGCAGAGAGCTGAGATCATGCCATAGAACTCCAGCCTGGGTGACAAGAGCAAGACTCCGTCTCAAAAAAAAAAAAAAAAAAAAAAAAAGAAAAGAAAAAGAAAAAGAGAGGTGAGCAAAAACAGATACGGTTTTTACCATTAGAATTTTTAGAAAACAGAATCACACAAATGAATATCTATTTGCAGTGGAGAGGTCAGTGCTATGCAAGCAGATGAAAGGGAGCTCAGGGAAGCTTTTCCTGAGCTGGGGCTTGAGCTGGCTAAGATCCAAGAAAGGTGTCCATGTAGGGTGGGCCGTTTTTCTTCTTTTCAGGCTCCTCGGGGTAACTGATGTCTTCCAGGCCCTCATCTGCCCCCAAATTCCCATGGCCACTCCTCTAGGTACTCTGCATAATGGTGTTTCTGCTTCAATGAAAGAAAACAGGTCACCACCCAAAGCAGTGGTTCCCATGCTTTTTTTTTTTTTTTTTTTTTTTTTTTTTTCTTTTTCAGAGGCAGTTTTGCTCTTGTTATCCAGGTTGGAATCCAATGGCACAATCTCTGCTCACTGCAACCCCTGTCTCCCGAGTTCAGGTGATGCTCCTGAATCCTGAATTCTCTGAACTGGGATTACAGGCATGCACCACCATGCCTGGCTAATTTTGTATTTTTAGTAGAGATAGGGTTTCTCCGTGTTGGTCAGGCTGGTCTCAAACTCCTGACCTCGGGTGATCCACTCGCCTCAGTCTCCCAAAGTGCTGGGATTACAGGTGTGAGCCACTGGGCTTTCCCACACTTTGATGAGCATCAGAATGGCCTGAGGAGCTTGGTAAGAACTCAGACTCCCTCCTTTTCTTGTCCATGGGCAGAAGTGGCCATTCAAGAGGTACTGACCCAGGGTTCCAGGCGGCGGGCAGAAGGCTGAGTCTCTGGAGGAGCGAGTCAGATGACTTGCTGCAAAGAGAGTATCAGCAGAGGTTCAGCAGAAACACCTTTGAGAGGGCACTTCCTACTTTCAGTTGTGTTTGGAATGCAAAGGTCTGGCTGAAACGGTGGCCACGGAGAAGGGGTGATGGATTTGAGAGGCTGAAGGGATAAGGAAGTGAGGGAGTCTAGATACTGAGCTCTCAAGCCTAGGTGTGAAACCGGGTGAGAAGTTTGGGCTTGTTTTAGGCTATGCCGAGTTTAAGTTCACGGTCTGGGGGATCAGAGCTGGTGGGTAAGGCTGAAGGTGAGAGCAGGATGAGGGTTTGGAAGCCCTTGCCTAGAAGGAGGCAGTTTTTTGAGACAGCGTAGGGCAGCGCAAACCTCCAGGATCACAGGGCTGCAGTCTTCTCCTTTCGGAGACCCCATTGCAGAGAAGAGCGAAACCAGGGGCGGGGTGGGGATGGTAGTGGTCTCTTCCAGTTCTTGAAGAGAACGTCCCGTAGGCAGGAGGGACGGGTCTTGGAGCACTCAATCTCCAGGCTTGGGAGGCCCCCAGCAATTCGAACGCGGAGGGCTATGCCGCCACCGCGAGCCCAGTCGCCCGATACGCGCCTTGGGGTCCGGGTCCCCTGGCCGGAAACTGAGCCGTTTACTTCCGCCACCAGCCGGAAGTTTTCTGTCGTCACTGGACACCAAGGAGTTTTCGGTGGCTCAGCTGGGTAACCGGGGCTCACCATGGCGGCCTCATTGGTGGGGAAGAAGATCGTGTTTGTCACGGGGAACGCCAAGAAGCTGGAGGAGGTGCCGGGAGGGTGTTGGGGGCTGACTGGGAGGCAGCTGGGAATACGGCGGAGAAGGGGCTTCTGGGTGGAGGGAAGCACGTGGGAGGAGGCATGGAGAGAGAAGAGAATAAAGCCCGGAAGGAAGGGTCCTGACCCGGCTGTGTGGAAAGGCTGGGGCGCAAGAAGGGAGTGGCTGCGGAATCGGGGCGCCCCGGGGTTGGCGAAGGAACGAGGATCTTGACAGATCCCGACACAGGGCTTGTGTGGTCAGCGACTGCGGGACCCAGAGGAGTGGCGGGGCCCTTAGCAACCGCCCCGAAGGTCACCTATTGAAGTAGACCCCAACCCAGTGTTCCGATACTCTTCTGGGACTTACCCACATCCCGCTGCTGGGCCAGGGCTAGCAGGACCCACAGAGGGCGTGGGGCGGAGTTCTACACTAAGCAATCCGTGTCCCACCACTGTCCTAAAATGTTCTAACCTCTTTTCGCGTGTGTGAAGTGGGGATGATGCAGGACATTTGCTTCACAGCGCTACAGGGAGGAGGAGTAAAGGAGGCAGTGGATCTAAAGTTTCTGTTTGCAGGGACTTTGTGGCTAGCAAGTAACAGAGACACACAGGAAGTTCATGTAAGCCACCAGATGACTCCTGTGGGAATATAGTGTTACCGTGTCCTGCAGGACCTGAGGTTCCCTCAAGAAGCTGACTTGTCCTTGTTCTCTCTGGATGCTGATCCCTATTCCTGTTCATATATTTCCCCTTTCTTCCCTGCTGGGGGATGGAACAGTGAGACTTCTACCAGATATCAGCTCCAACTGGCTTTGCTTGAATCAAGTGTTTGCCCCTGTTCAATCAGCCATAGCCATGGAGTGGGGGTCATATGTGGGGGATCAGGATGACACCCACTGGATATGTCTGAGTCAGACCAGCGGGGTGTAATCACTAGGGAAACCTATATTTGCCTGTAGCGTAGGGAGGGACTGATGTCACTTTGGTGCCAGGACAAAGTGGCCTTCTCAGGAACCAGAACCTTCTGCTGAAAAAAGGTTTGGGATCCTGAGGCCAGACCAGTCAGGCAGTGCCACCCTGAACGGAGCCCATGCAGGACAATGGGCATGAGACCCCAAACCTCTGACTGAGAATATTGCCCTCATTTAAAGAGGGAGCTGGAGCCTGGGTGTGGTGCCTCACGCTTGTAATCCCAGCACTTTGGGAGGCTGAGGCGGGCAAATCATCTGAGGTCAGGAGTTCAAGACCAGCCTGGCCAACATGGTGAAATTCCATCTTTACTAAAAATACAAAAATTAGCTCAGCATGGTGGCACATGTCTGTAGTCCCAGCTACTCAGGAGGCTGAGACAGGAGAATCGCTTGAAGCCCGGAAGCAGAGGTTACAGTGAGCTGAGATCACACCACTGTACTCCAGCCTGGGTGACAGAGTGACAGAGTGAGACTCCGTCTCAAAATAAAAAAAAAAGAAGAAGAAGAAGAAGAAGGTGCTAGAGTAGCCAAGGGAGACTCCTTGGAGAACATGGACTTGAACTTGGCCTAAAACAGGTAGTCTTTTTTTTTTTTTTTGAGACAGAGTCTCACTTTGTCACCCAGGCTGGAGTGCAGTGGTGTGATCTCTGCTCGCTGCAACCTCCGCCTCCTGGATTCAAGCGATTCTCCTGCCTCAGCCTCCTGAGTATCTGAGATTACAAGCATGCGTCACCACGCCTGGCTAATTTTTATATTTTTAGTAGAAACGGGATTTTGCCATGTTGGCCAGACTGGTCTCAAACTCCTGACCTCAGGTGATCCACCCTCTATCTGCTTCCGCCTCCCAAAGTGCTGGGATTACAGGCGTGAACCACCTCGCCCAGCTGTGGGTTTTTTTTTTTTTAGACAAGTCTCACTCTGTCGCCCAGGCTGGAGTGTATCTCAGCTCACTGCAGCCTCCGCCTCCCGGGTTCAAGCAATCCTCATGCCTCAGCCTTCCCAGTAGCTGGGACTACAGGTGTGTGCCACCACACCTAGCTAATTTTTGTATTTTTAGTAGAGACAGGGTTTCTCCATGTTGGTCAGGCTGGTTGGTCTTGGACTCCCGACCTCAGGTGATCTGCCCGCTTCCGCCTCCCGAAGTGTTAGATTACACGCATGAGCCACTGCGCCTGGTCGAACGGGTAGTCTTAACTAGTGGTATGCCATTGGCAGACTGAGGAAACCTATAGAATCTTTCTCAGGAAAATAGTTTCAAATGTACAAAATAAAATACATGGTATTACAGGCTGGGCACAGTGGTTCATACCTATAATCCCAGCACTTTGGGAGACTGAGGCTCAAGGAGGATCTCTTGAGCCCAGGAGTTCAAGACCAGCCTGGGCAACAAAGTGAGACCCTAGCTCTACAAATAATTAGCCTAAGCATGGTACCTGGGCCACCTGTGATTCTAGGTACATGGGAGGCTGAGGCAGGAGGATCTCTTGGACCCAGGAGGTTGAGGCTCTAGTGAGCTGTGTTTGTGCCACTGTACTCCAGCCTGGGTGACAGAGAGAGATCCTCTCTCAAAAAAATAAATAAATAAATAAAATACATAGGATTACAAAGGAAATCAACTATAGTGAAGTACAATTATTAAAATGTTACAAATATTTGTGATTTAGTTATCTATACTTTCTTAATGCATTAAAGGATTTAATCTACCAATGTATGAGTAATTACCTTTTTTTTTTTTTTTTTGAGAGGGGGTCTCACTCTGTTGCCTAAGGCTGGAATGCAATGGTGCAATCTTGGCTCACTGTAGCCTCAATCTTCTGTGCTCAAGCAATCCTCCAGCCCCAGCCTCCTGAGTAGCTGGGACTTAAGGCGCATGCCACCATGCCCAGCTAATTTTTGTATTTTTTGTAAAGATGGGGTTTTGCCATGTTGTTCAAGCTAGTCTCAAAGTTCTGGGCTCAAGCAATCTGCCCACCTTGGCCTCTGAAAGTGCTGAGATTACAAGCGTGAGCCACAGCACCTAGCCCCTTAATTTTAAAATATCCAGATAAAAGGTATTTTGAGATATCTGCAGCAGTTGTAATGAGTTATAACAACATCTGTGATTTTAGTAGGTTTAAAAGTCACAGGAACTGCTAGTAATATTTTGGTTTGTTACCTATATTCATAATGAAAAAAGATACTAAATTTCTTTTTTTTTTTTTTTGAGACGGAGTCTCGCTCTGTCACCCAGGCTGGAGTGCAGTGGCCGGATCTCAGCTTACTGCAAGCTCCGCCTTCCGGGTTTAGCCATTCTGTCTCAGCCTCCCGAGTAGCTGGGACTACAGGCGCCCGCCACTTCGCCCGGCTAGTTTTTTTTTTTTTTTGTATTTTTTAGTAGAGACGGGGTTTCACCGTATTAGCCAGGATGGTCTCCATCTCCTGACCTCGTGATCCGCCCATCTCGGCCTCCCAAAGTGCTGGGATTACAGGCTTGAGCCACCGTGCCCGGCCTTTTTTTTTTTTTTTTGAGACGGAGTCTCACTCTGTCGCCCAGGCTGGAGTGCAGTGGCACGATCTCGGCTCACTGCAAGCTCCGCCTCCTGGATTCAAGCCATTCTCCTGTCTCAGCCTCCCGAGTAGCTGGTACTACAGGTGCCCGCGACCATGCCAGGCTAATTTTTTGTATTTTTAGTAGAGACGGGGTTTCACCATGTTAGCCAGGGTGGTGTCGATCTCCTGACCTCGTGATCCACCCGCCTCAGCCTCCCAAAGTGCTGGGATTACAGGCGTGAGCCACTGTGCCCGGCCAAAGATACTAAATTTCAATTAAGGTTACTAAGACTAAAGATATTTTTTTTCCAATCCATGTTCACAGGCCTCCTGAATTCTGGGTATCTTCTGATAGAGAATTTCTGGTTTAGGAGGGTGGCTAGAGTTTCTAGGAGCATTGAGAAGAGAAGAGGGTGTTCTGGATGGGGGCTTAGCACAAGCAGAGACCTGATGTAGGAGAGATAGAGAAGTAAGGAGATGGAAGGGGCTGGCTTGCTGGGGTGGGACCCTGAAAGCCGGGGTGAGGCTCACAGGCCTGAGTTGGTAAGCTTTAGGAGATTGGCAGGAGAGTTATCGATGAGAAAGGTGGATAACAGCTCACGTGCTCACATAGTAATGGGGAATCATTAGATGGTGATAAATCTTCTCTTTTCTTTTGGAACAGGTCATTCAGATTCTAGGAGATAAGTTTCCATGCACTTTGGTGGCACAGAAAATTGACCGTATGTCTCTGTTTTGTTTTATTTTTAAAAGATGGTTGGATTTTATCTGTCTTCCTGTGACCTGACTCTCTGTGTGTCTGTTTCCCTGATAAGTGCCGGAGTACCAGGGGGAGCCGGATGAGATTTCCATACAGAAATGTCAGGAGGCAGCTCGCCAGGTGCTTGCCCTGCCCTTGTCCCACACTTGCTCCTCTTGTCCAGGTAGCTTCCAGGGCCTGTGCCTGCTGGAAACAATAGAGTAAACAAGTTTGTTGAGCTTTCTTGGACCGGCCCAGAGCCCTCTAGGGTTCAGTTAATATTGACTTTGGAACACTGCCTTCCTTTGCCAGCCTTGAATACATGGTATCTCCCCCAGACCATTACTATACACTCCTACATACACACAGACTCTCCTTCCCCCAAATGCTCAGACACATGCATTCCAGCCCTACATCCTCCCCACACACATCCACCGCTGCAGTCACACTTGTTCGTGGAACTCAGAAAGCATGCTGTGGAGAGTCAGGCTGAGTGCGAATCCCAGCTCTCCCATTGCTGTGCCTGGAGCAAGCTTTACAATCAGCCAAAGCTTTGGTGTCTTCATAAGATAAGAGATTGGCCAAAGGTAAGAGATTGGCCGAGGGCAGCTCCCAGGGCGCTGTCTGCCACAGATCTCAGCTAGCTCAGGGCTGGCCCCAGCCTGGGTGACCTTGGTGTTCCAGGAGGGGATGGTGATCGTGTGTCTCAGGGCTGCATGTCTTTGTGCTGCAGGTACAGGGGCCTGTGCTGGTTGAAGACACCTGTCTGTGCTACAACGCCCTTGGAGGGCTCCCCGGCCCCTACATGTGAGTGCCCACCTCCACCCCCTTACAGGGCCCCAAGCCCAAAACCACCAGAACTGCAAAATGATGAGGCACCTGATACTGCAGGTCATTCCCTGTCTTCGCATCAACAGCCTTTCACGTTGTCCCGAGGAAAGATGGGATAGGAGAAGCATGTCTTTCTTTTGTAAAGTGTGAGAATGCGACCTGTAAGTGGAGATGGTAAAGGGGACCCCACGCATTTGAGAATTACGTTCATAGGTAGATTAATTTCAGGAAAGAGAAAACAAGGAAGTTGGAATCTAAAACTTGATTTCTTTCTTCCTTTTTTTTTTTTTTTGGATACAGTTTCTGTTACCTAGGCGGCTAGAGTGCAGTGGCGTGATCGTGGCTCACTGCAGTCTCCACCTCCCAGGCTCAGGTGATCTTTCCACCTCAGCTTCCTGAGTAGCTGGGACTACAGGTGTGCATCACCACACCCAGCTAATTTTTTGTTCTTTCTTTCTTTCCTTTCTTTCTTTCCTTCTTTCTTCTTTCCTTCTTTTTCTTTCTTTTTCCTTCTTTTCTTTCTTTCCTTCTTTCTTTCTTTCCTTCTTTCTTTCTTTCCTTCTTTCTTTCTTTCCTTCTTTCTTTCTTTCCTTCCTTCTTTCTTTCTTTCCTTCTTTCTTTCTTTCCTTCTTTCTTTCTTTCTTTCTTTCCTTCCTTTCCCTCCCTTCCTTCCTTCCTTCCTTCCTTCCTTCCTTCCTTCCTTCCTTCCTTCCTTCCTTTCTTTCTTTCTTTCTTTCTTTCTTTCTTTCTTTCTTTCTTTCTTTCTTTCTTTCTTTCTTTTTCTTTCTTCCTTTCTTTCCTTTCTTTCCTTTCTTTCTTTCCTTTCTCGGAGTCTCGCTCTGTTGCCCAGGCTGGGGTGCAGTGGCCGGATCTCAGCTCACTGCAAGCTCCGCCTCCCGGGTTTACACCATTCTCCTGCCTCAGCCTCCCGAGTAGCTGGGACTACAGACACCCGCCACCTCGCTTGGCTAGTTTTCTGTATTTTTTAGTAGAGACGGGGTTTCACCGTGTTAGCCAGGATGGTCTCGATCTCCTGACCTCGTGATCCGCCCGTCTCGGCCTCCCAAAGTGCCGGGATTACAGGCTTGAGCCACCGCGCCCAGCCTATTTATTATTTTTTTTTGAGATGGAGTCTCGCTCTGTCACCCGGGCTGGAGTGCAGTGGTGCAATCTCAGCTCACTGCAAGCTCCACCTCCTGCATTCACGCCATTCTCCTGTCTCAGCCTCCCGAGCAGCTGGGATTACAGGCGCCCGCCACCACAGCTAATTTTTTGTGTTTTTAGTAGAGACGGGGGTTTCACCATGTTAGCCAGGATGGTCTCGATCTCCTGACCTTGTGATCTGCCCTCCTCGGCCTCCCACAGTGCTGGGATTACAGGTGTGAGCCACCGTGCCTGGCCTGTATTTATTTACTTTTGGTGTGTGAGACAGCGTCTCAGTCTGTCGCTGAGGTAGGAGTGCAGTGGTGTGATCACAGCTCACTTGCTTGACTCAAGCTATCCACCTGCCTCAGCTTCCCGAGTGGCTGGGACTGCAGGCACGTGCCCAGCCAGTTTTTTTGCATTTTTTGTAGAGATGGGATTTCGCTATGTTGTCCAAGCTTTTCTCAAACTCCTGAGCTCAGCCGGGCACGGTGGCTCACACTTGTAATACCAGCACTTTGGGAGGCCGAGGCGGGTGGATCATGAGGTCAGGAGATCGAGACCATCCTGTGAATGGTGAAACCCTGTCTCTACTAAAAATACAAAAAATTAGGCTGGGCGCGGTGGCTCACGCCTGTAATCCCAGCACTTTGTGAGGCCGAGGTGTGCGGATCACAAGGTCAGGAGATTGAGACCATCCTGGCTAACATGGTGAAACCCTGTCTCTACTAAAAATACAAAAAAATTAGCTGGGCGTGGTGGTGGGCACCTGTAGTCCCATCTACTGGGGAAGCTGAGGCAGGAGAATGGTGGGAATCCGGGAGGTGGAGCTTGTGGTGAGCCAAGATCATGTCACTGCACTCCAGCCTGAGTGACAGAGCGAGACTCCTCCTCAAAAAAAAAAAAAAAAAAAAAAATTAGCTGGGCGTGGTGGTGGGCGCCTGTAGTCCCAGCTACTTGGGAGGCTGAGGCAGGAGAATGGCATGAACCCAGGAGGCGGAGCTTGCAGTGAGCAGAGATCGCCTGGGCAACAAAGCGAGACTCCGTCTCAAAAAAAACTCCCGAGCTCAAGTGATCCGCCTGCCTTAGCCTCCCAAAGTGCTGGGATTACAGGCAGGAGCCACCTCGCCTGGCCCTTGGAGGCATTCTTTTTCATTTACCCTTGGCTGTCAATAGGGAACAGCCAGGAAAAGGTGGTAAGAAGATCCAGCTGCTCCTGGTGTTCTGACTCTCCTTTATTTCTCTTGCAGAAAGTGGTTTCTGGAGAAGTTAAAGCCTGAAGGTATTATCTGCTTTGTTTCTTCCCTGGATCTGTTGGGAATGAGAATCTGGGTTTGCTCTAGGGCAGGGACCCCAACTAGTAGTCAGGAGTCCCAGGTTCTAGCCCCCACCACGGAGCCTCCATCTCATTTTCCCCATCTAGCACTGGTAGTTCACACTTACCCTGTACTCCAGAGAGCACTGTGTGGGGGAGGGATGGTGGGAGCTGTAGGGTTGAGGAGCTTTCAAGAGGGACTTGGCCCTCGTGACTGCTTTAGCCAGGGCCTGCCCTGGGAATTGGAGGACTGCCCCTCCTGGACCCCAGCAGTGCGTATCCTGTCACCCACAGTTGCAAGCCAAAATGTCCCATCTTTATGTGCTTTTATTTATTTATTTAGAGACAAGGTCTCACTCTTGCCCAGGCTGGAGTGCACTGGTATGATCTCGACTCACTGCAACCTCCACCTCTTGTGTTCAAGCGATTCTCCTGCTGCAGCCTTCCAAGTAGCTGGGATTACAGGTGCCTACCACCATGCCCAGCTAATTTTTGTATTTTAAGTAGAGAGGGGGTTTCACCATGTTGGCCACGCCAGTCTCGAACACCTGACCTCAAGTGATCCTCCTACCTTGGCCTCCCAAAGTGCTGGGATTACAGGTGTGAGCCACCACACCCAGCCTATTTATTTATTTATTTATTTATTTGAGTTGGAGTCTCACTGTTGCCCAGGCTGGGGTGCAGTGGCTCAACTCACTGCAACCTCTGCCTCCCTGGTTCAAGCAATCCCCCTGCCTCAGCCTCCCAAGCAGCTGGGATTACAGGCATGTGCCACCACGCCGGCTAAATTTTTTTTGAGAGATGGAGTCTCGCTCTGTCACCCAGGCTGGAGTGTAGTAGCACGATCTCGGCTCACTCCAACCTCCACCTCCCGGATTCAAGCGATTCTTCTGCCTCAGCCTCCTGAGTAGCTGGGACTTCGGGCGTATGCCACCATGCCCAACTAATTTTTGTATTTTTAGTAGAGTTGGAATTTCACCATGTAGGTCAGGATGGCCTCAATCTCCTGACCTTGTGATCTGCCTGCCTTAGCCTCCCAAAGTGCTGGGATTACAGGTGTGAGTTACCACGCCTGGCCTTTTTTGTTGTTGTTGTTGGAGACAAGTTTCACTCTTGTTGCCCAGGCTGGAGTGCAATGGCACGATCTCGGCTCACCACAACCTCTGCCTCCTGAGTTCAAGCGATTCTCCTGCCTCAGCCTCCTGTGTAGCTGGGATTACAGGTGCCTGCCACCACGTCCAACTAATTTTTGTATTTTTAATAGACAGGGTTTCACTATGTTGGCCATGCAGATCTCGAACTCCTAACCTCAGGTGATCCACCCACCTCGGCCTTCCAAAATGCTGGGATTACAGGCATGAGTTACCGCACCCATCCTTATGTGCTTTTAAAAACACTTCACATTGGCCAGGGGCAGTGGCTCACGCCTGTAATCCCAGCACTTTGGGAGGCCGAGGCGGGCAGATCACGAGGTCAGGAGATCGAGACCATCCTGGCTAACACCATGAAACCCTGTCTCTACTAAAAATACAAAAAATTAGCCGGGCGTGGTGGCGGACATCTGTAGTCCCAGCTACTCAGGAGGCTGAGGCAGGAGAATGGCGTGAACCCGGGAGGCGGAGCTTGCAGTGAGCCGAGATCGCACCACTGTACTCCAGCTTGGGTGAGAGATCGAGACTCCATCTCAAAAAAAAAAAAAAAAAAAAAAAAAAGACACTTTACATTATAGAGCATTTCAAATCTGCACAGTAGAATATCATAACAGGATAATGGGCATAAATATATACAGTTATTGTTTGTCAATTAAAAAAAGCATAGTAGAATAATGAACCTCAGTCACCATCAACCAGCTTCCAGGGTTATCAGCACAATGCCTGTTTTGTGACATCTATAACCCCTCTTATTTTTCCTAAGTCCAGTATTTTAAGGCAAATCACAGACACCATATCATCAGTAAGTTCTTCAGCTTGTATTTATTTTTATTTGTTTTAATTTTTTTTGGAGACAAGGGTCTCCCTCTGTTGCCCAGGCTGGAGTGCAGTGGCTCAATCTCAGCTCACTGCCCACCATCCGGGCTCAAGTGATCTTCCCACCTCAGCCTCTTGAGTAGCTGGGACTACAGGTGTAAGCCACCATGCCTAGCTAATTTTTGTGTTTTTTGTAGAGGTGAAGTCTCACTATGTTGCCCTGGCTGGTCTCAAACTCCTGAGCTCAAGTGACCCACCCACCTTGGCCTCCCAAAGTGTTGGGATTACAGGTATGAGCCACCAAATGCAGCCACTGTATTTCTAAAAGGTGAAAAATTAAGAAACTGATAAAATATAATCATTTTTAAATATTACCTAATCATTTTTTGGATTCCCTTGGTTGTAGAAAAAGTGCCTATTAAAGTTGGTTAGTTTTTTTGTTTTGTTTTGTTTTTTCGAGACGGAGTCTCGTTCTGTCGCCCAGGCTGGAGTGCAGTGGCGCGATCTCGGCTCACTGCAAGCTCCGCCTCCCGCATTCACGCCATTCTCCTGCCTTAGCTCCCGAGTAGCTGGGACTGCAGGTGCCCGCAACCACACCCGGCTAATTTTTTTGTATTTTTAGTAGAGACGGGGTTCACCGTGTTAGCCAGGATGGTCTCGATCTTCTGACCTCGTGATCTGCCCACCTCGGCCTCCCAAAGTGCTGGGATTACAGGCGTGAGCCACCGCGCCCGGCCTACAGTTGGTTAGTTTTGAATCAGGAATCAAACATGGTCCCCACAGCATTGGCTAGTTTTCTGACTTTAAATAAAGCCTCGTGTCGTCAGCCTGTGCTAGAGGGAAGCGAGAATGCCCAGAGACTTCTATTTCAAGCCTAGACCCACTGCCTTGGGCTCTGCCGCGCCTGCTACCCCAATTGAGACCTAATTTCCCTTTTTAGGGAATTCCTGCCTCCCCACCCTTAGTGGGCTTCTTGGGAGTGGGGGTGGGAGTTAGCCAGCAGGGATGCCCTGAGCCCTCACTGCCCACCCGCAGGTCTCCACCAGCTCCTGGCTGGGTTCGAGGACAAGTCAGCCTACGCGCTCTGCACGTTTGCACTCAGCACCGGGGACCCAAGCCAGCCCGTGCGCCTGTTCAGGGGCCGGACTTCGGTGCGTAACCACCTTGATGCAGTTCCCGCCGCGCGCCGCCAGGGGGTGCCGCGACGGGAGCCGACCGCCCTGGGTCTGCGGGAGGGTGGGGGGAAGGGCGCCTTGGGGCCAAAGATACCTTGACTTGCTGAGAGGCTCCCCTGGGCAGCATAGGTAGAAGTGCTGTCAATCCTAGGAGGGTGGTGGAAAGGGTGCCCTGGGGCCAGAGTAGTTACTTTTGCCTTGCTGAGGGGCGCCCCTGGGCAGGACAATGGAAGTGTTGTCAATTCTGAAACCTGTTTGACCCCTGAGGCTAACTGCTCCTAAGGCCTGATAGACCCAGAAGAGCAAACTGAAGGTGACAACTCCCAAAACTACTTTTTTTCTTTTCTTTTTTTTTTTTTTTTTTTTTTTTTTGTTGTTGTTGTTAGTAAGAAACCACACTTGGATCAAAGCTACATGTATAGCCCAGACTTCTCCAAGCTCAGATTTCCTTATCCAACTGCCAAGGTGCTTGACTATTTCAGTCTTTCCAGCTTTTCGTGTTTATGTATAATAGAATCTTAATTTTTTTTTTTTTTTGAGACAAAGTCTTGCTGTGTTGCCCAGGCTGGAGTGCAGTGGTGTCATCTCAGCTCACTGCAACCTCTGCCTCCAGGGTTCAAGTATACAATGTGAATTCTTGGCCAGGTTTGGTGATTTACACCTGTAATCCTGGCACTTTGGGAGTCCCAGGTGGGAGGCTTTCTTGAGCCCAGGTGTTCAAGATTAGCCTGGGCACCATAACAAGACCCCATCTTTACAAATAATCTAAAAATGAGGCCAGGCGTGGTGGCTCACGTCTGTAATCCCAGCACTTTGGGAGGCCGAGGCAGGTGGATCACCTGTGGTCAGGAGTTCAAGAACAGCCTGGGTAGCATAGCAAAACCCTGTCTCTACTAAAAATGCAAAAAATAGCTGGACCTGGTGGCAGATACCTGTAATCCCAGCTACTCGGGAGGCTGAGGTGGGAGAATCGCTTGAACCCGGGAGGCAGAGGTTGCAGTGAGCCAAGATCCCGCCAGTGCACTCCAGCCTGGGTGACAAGAGCAAGACTCCGTGCCCCCCCCACCAAAAAAAAAATGAGGCTGAGCACAGTGGCTCACACATGTAATCCCAGCACTTTGCAAAGCGAAAGCAGGAGGATCGCTTGAGGCCAGGAGTTTGAGACCAGCCTGGGTAACATAGCCAGACCCTGTCTCAAAAATCAATAAATAAATAATTAGCTGGGCATGATGGTGCACACCTGTAGTCCCAACTACTTGGGAGGCTGAGGTGGGAGGATCACCTGAGCCTAGGAGTTTGAGGGTACAGTAAGCTATGATTGCACTCCTACACTCCAGGCATGGAGTAATGGAGTGAGACCCAGTCTCAAAAATAATAATAATAATAATAACACCTTAATTATTTGCCCAAACTTATTCCTTCCGTGAGATGTATTCAACACCTTTTACCTGCCTATCAGATTCTGAATTACAGCTGCTTCTCCCAGGGTCCAGACTACCCTCCAGGCTGGCTGCTGCCCCTGTGTCCACCTGCTCTCTCCCTGTGCAGAAGCATGCCTTCTGCCACTCCTGCGCGCAGCTCCTACTGCTCAGGAGAATGTCCAGAGATTCCACTGGGAGCTGTTCACAGATGTCTTACCTTGTCTGGTAAAAGTTTTTGGTGGTGGTGGTGATGGTTAAAAAAAAAAAAAATCACTATCGTAACCATTTTTTTTTTTCTTGGTACTCACTGGTTATAGCTTTTTTGTTTGTTCGTTTGAGACGGTGTCTTGCTCTGTCGCCAGGCTGGAGTGCAATGGCATGATTTCGGCTCACTGCAACCTCCACCTCCTGGGTTCAAGCAATTCTCCTGCCTCAGTCTCCCGAGTAGCTGGGATTACGGGCATGCGCCACTATGCCTGACTAATACAGGCATGCGCCACAATGCCCGGCTCATTTTTGTATTTTTAGTAGAGACGGGGTTTCGCCATTTCGGTCAGGCTGGTTTCGAACTCCTGACTTCAGGTGATCCACCCTCCTTGGCCTTCCAAAGTGCTGGGATTATAGGCATGAGCCACCGTGCAGGCCCCCATACTTTCATTATTGAACTTAACACCTTGTTCATTCCCTTTAAGGCACTTTGCATTGTATAATCATTACTTTTATTAATTTGTTTACTGGTGTAATGCCTGTTTGGCTTAAGAGGTCTATTGTATGAGGGCAAGGCTAGGCCCACTGTGGGTGCACAAAACACATTTGTTGTATGGTTGAGGTTCAGTAACTGGCCTTGGTCACGCAGCCCCTCATAGTGGAAGTAGAATTTGCCTTTGGGTCTAAATTACTTGGCATTTATGTGACTAATCCCAATCATGTACCACCTCCACTGTATTTTTTAAAAATTAAAAAAAAATGTTTTTGAGACAGGGTCTTGCTTTATCACCCAGGCTGGAGTGCAGTGGCATGGTTACAGTTCATAGCAGCCTTGATCTCTCAGGCTCAAGTCATCCTCCCACCTCAGCCTCCTGAGTAGCTAGGACCTCAGGTGCAAGCTACTACATCTAGCTAATTAAAAAAAAAAAAAAAAAAATTAGTAGAGATAGGGTCTGACTGTGTTGCCCAGACTGATCTTGAACTCCTGGGTTTAAACCATCCTCCCTCCTCCGCTTCCCAAAGCGTTGAGATTACAGGCATGAGCTACCACACCTGGCCCCTTGTATTTTTTCAGTTAGAATTTTTTGGGTTTTTTTGTTTGTTTTTTGGAATGTTTGTATGTTTGTTTTGAGACAGGGTCTCAGTCTGTTGCCCGGGCTGGATCACAGCTCACTGCAGCCTCGACCTCTTGGGTTCAAGCAGTCTTCCCACCAAGTAGCTGGGACTACAGGCTCACACCACCAGGCTAGGCTAATTTTTGTATTTTTTGTAGAGATGGGATTTTGCCTTTGCCATGTTGCCCAGGCTAGTCTCAGATTGCTGGGCTCAAGTGATCTTCCTACCTCAGCCTCTCAAAGTCCTGGGATTACAGGCATGAGCCACCGTGCCTGGCCAGATTGTTTTTTCTTTTTTTTTTTTTTTTTTACTTTGATAACAACATGACATTTCATGTCACTGGATTACAATTTGTTCTTTTTTCTAACATTTTCACTGTGGAATTTCCCTACTACAGCCAGTATTTACTGTACTCACTTATATGTTCATGAAGTGGGGAGCTGGGTGCCTGCTTCTGGTTGCAGTGTTTCATCGTATGGTTAAAGTCTTCCTCGCATTTTCAGGAACACTGTCATAGTGGCAGGCATCTGGCTTGTCCACAGACTTCAGGGCACTTAGCTTCCTATTAGGAGAAAACGTTTTCTATCTATCAAAGTAGCCTCATTGTTCTTCAGTGATATCCCAATTTGTCCCGGGTGTGGCGAGGGCACGTGGCTTCGGAGGTGCCAGTGGGCCCGTCAGGTGCATGCCTCCTCCCTGTGTGAGGGGAGAGCTGCCCCACTCTGCTTTTTATTGTATTCAGCAAACATTTGCAGGTGCTATAGAGGCCTTGCAACTATTTTGCATAAGTTGGGTCAAATCAAATTCACAAACTCACCAAACTCCTACTGGCCACTGCCCTCCTCATGCTTGTCCTCTGGACCGAGTTACACACCAGTATCCCCTTTCCTTTGGCAGGGCCAGATCGTGGCACCCAGAGGCTGCCGGGACTTTGGCTGGGACCCCTGCTTTCAGCCTGATGGATATGAGCAGACGTAAGGAGCCCTGGTTTCTTCCCTAGGGTGTGGGGTTGGCATAGCCATCGTTTGGGTTGGGCCAGTGCCCCGCCCAAGTGCAGGCATGTGGATATGGGCTGGGAAGGCTCTGAGGGTGCCGTTCCAGCCAAAGGCAGCTCTGCTGGGGTGGACACTAGGAATCTGGGTGGCCTAGTCCATGGTCAGGAAGGCAGCCAGATGGCACTGGGAGTCCTGGGCTCTAAGGCTCCAGGTCACCCCACATCAGCTGTGTAGCCAGTGGTTTCGCCTCTCTGGCCTTGGCTTATAAGCTGTACCTCTGACTTTTTTTCTTTTTGAGACGGAGTTTTGCTTGCTGCTGGAGTGCAGTGGTGCAGTGGTGCAGTGGTGTGATCTCGACTCACTGCAGCCTCTGCCTTCCGGGTTCAAGCGATTCTCCTGTCTCAGCTGGGATTGCAGGCACGCACCATCATGCCCAGCTAATTTTTGTTGTTTTTGGTAGAGACGGGATTTCACCAGATTGGCCAGGCTGGTCTCAAACTGACCTCAGGTGATCCACCCGCCTTGGCCTCCCAAAGTGCTAGGATTACAGGCATGAGCCACTGCACCTGGCCACATCTGACAGTTTTATGGCGTCATTTTCTGACCCCCATCTAGGTTGGGAAAATGTCCAGGGTTTTGCAGCCTCTTGTGGGCACTATTTTATGCCCTCAAAGTACCAGTTGTTCTCAGTAGTTCGCACGAATCCCCCCTTATTCACACAAGGCACGGGCCATTGTTGGAATCAGGCTTTCAGGCTGGAGGGGCCCTGAGGGAGCGCAGTCTGAGGCCCCACAAGAGCCCCAGCAGGGGTGAGGACATTGTGGAACCAGCCACTAGCCATATGGGGCTGTGGAGTACTTGCATGTGGTGAGACCCAGAAATGGAATATTTTTATTCAGTGTTAATTCATTTAAATAGCCACACCTGGCTAGTGGCTACTGGCTGCCGTCTTGCACAGAGCAGTCTGCAGGCCACAGGCGGGGTATGGGATTCTCACCTCACTGCCGTGCTGGCACGGAGGTCAGGCCCCTGGCCAGCTGTTCAAGTGCTCCCCCGCCCTCCACGCATTAGAGGAGACTGCTGTGTTTGCTCTGTCAGGCCCCACTGCTTCCTGTCAACAGATGACAAAGCTGATCAAACATGCAGCTCATCCCCCCTGTCCCCAGCTTCCCTTAATGACTTTTGGGCACACTAGAGCAAGTTTAATATCCCTCCATCCTCATTCATGGGGGTTTCTGCCCCAGGGGAATTGAAAACTTGATCCGATTTTTAAAAGTTAACTGGCTGCCAGCAGCTGCTGGGCCCCACTCCTCTTTTCTGGGAGTCTGTGAGCTTTGGACTCCGGGCATGAGATGAGGTAGGGTAGGGAGGGGGTGCGTTTCCTCCCTGAATCTGGGCTCCCTGAGCTGTTACTGTCATCCCTCAGGTACGCAGAGATGCCTAAGGCGGAGAAGAACGCCGTCTCCCATCGCTTCCAGGCCCTGCTGGAGCTGCAGGAGTACTTTGGCAGCTTGACTTCTGCGGCTGGGGGAGGCCTTTCAGGCCAGGGATCTGGGGAGGGCTAGCCTGAAACCTCCTGCATCAGGCAGGCACCCCTGGAAGTACTTCCTTTAGGGTTTCCCCTTCCTGGGGGTGTCAAGTAGCCTCACCAGCCTGTCTGGAGGAGCAGATGGCTCTGCTCTGAGAAACTCTGGGCAAGTGGATGCCATTCTCTTGCCCTTAGGATTCACTGCTCTCTCCTACAACCTCCAGGCCTGGGATCCTGAAAGGACCTTGGGTGGTAAAGCTGGACTTGGTGGGAGTGAGGGCTTGGGGAGGAACCATGCAAATCACCTCCCATGTTTTTTAAATGCAATAAATAACACTTCTGGATGAGACTTGTTTCCAAAATAAACCAGCTATATCTGTTTTGAACCCTGCCCCAGGCAGGTGTCTCAGTCTCCTTTGGCAGGTGCAGGAAGCCTTTTAGGTGGGGGTGGGGATGGGGCACTGTGTGGAAGGCGTTCGGATGCCACTGTGAACTGGAGTGTTACATCTCCACTCGCATTCTTGCCTCACTCAATGGCATGGATTGTGGGCTGACCTCCACCCTGGATCCATGCTGCCCCCTACCTGCAGGTAGTGCCAGGGCCTCCATGAAGCCTTACTGGGTTGGGGGCTGGGCGGTGTGGCACTCCCAGTGCTTTTGCCTTATGCTGTTACACAGCAGAGCCGCTAAAATGTTGGTTTACAATTACAATGCCCAGTTCATTTTTATGGTGAGGAGGGGCTGGAGTCCTCGACCCCACTTGGCTTGATAGCCACAGTTCAGCCTGCCGGCTGCAGACCCCTCAGGAGACCTCGCTCATGCCACACACCCTTACTCTGTGCCCTGGAGAAGTCATTGCCTGGAAGGGACTTCCCCAGGTGGCTGCCTTGTCAGAGTGTCCAACCCAAGGACATTCAAGGGGGGCGTGGTAGGCTCAGGCTGGTGGGGCACCCCCAGGCTTGCTTCTGTGCCCACAGGCAGCTCTGGAGAGACCCCTGCAGTCCCTGTGACTCCATCCAGCAGGATGGCCCTGGGTCAGGACAGTGTCGTTCCTTCACTCCCCTCTTGCCTGCAAGCTCCGACTGGGTTAAATCCCCAGGAGGTGCTGCGTCCCTGCCCAGTCTCCTGAGTCTCCTTGATGGGTGGGAAAAGTCTAGCTGGGCCTCAGACGTGGGGTGCTGGGGGCCTGCCTGCTCCTTGCCAGTTGATCATGGATGCAGCCCCCCTGTGCAGGGAACACCCAGGCTACTGATGAGGGTGCTCCAAAGAAGAATCACATGCTGCCTGGGTGGGATGGGGACATAGGTGTGGGGAGGGCACCTCTCTGTATTGCCTGTTCAGCTCCCCCAGAATTCTGTCCTGGGTGCACATGACACTTTCTGCCCATTTTTTTTTACTTTAGCTACCTGTGATACTCTGAAGTATATATCTAGTTCCAGGCAAGGTGGCTCATGCCTGTAATCCCAGCACTTTGGAAGGCCAAGGTGGGAGGATCGCTTGAGCCCAGGACTTCACGACCAGCCTGGGCAACATGGCAAAACCTTGTCTTGGGCCGGGCGAGGTGGCTCAAGCCTGTAATCCCAGCACTTTGGGAGGCCGAGGCGGGTGGATCACAAGGTCAGGAGATCGAGACCATCCTGGCTAACACGGTGAAACCCCGTCTCTACTAAAAAATACAAAAAAAACTAGCCGGGCGAGGTGGCGGGCGCCTGTAGTCCCAGCTACTCGGGAGGCTGAGGCAGGAGAATGGCGTGAACCCGGGAGGCGGAGCTTGCAGTGAGCTGAGATCCGGCCACTGCACTCCAGCCTGGGCTACAGAGCGAGACTCCGTCTCACAAAAAAAAACAAAAAACAAAAAACAAAAAACAAAACCTTGTCTCTACAAAAATACAAAAATTTGCTGGGCATGGTGGTACGTGCCTGTGGCCACAGCTACTCAGGATTCCGAGGTGGGAGGATCCCCTGAGCCTAGGGAAATCAAGGCTGCAGTGAGCCACGATCGCACCACTGCACTCCAGCCTGGGCAACAGTGTGAGACCCTGTCTCAAAAAAAACATATATGTATTTGGTCTTTGACCCGTTTCCTAGCAAACAACTTAAAAACCCTCAGAAACTCCACACTGATGTCTTCTTGTGTGCTAATAAGGTGGCTGGCAGCATCTAGGCAGCTTGGTTATGGAAAGACCAAGCCAGGACAAGAGGACTGGGACTTTCGGTCTCCACCCCTCGCCAGACCTCCAGGGAGGGGCAGGGCTGAAGGTTCAATTGATCACCAGTGGCCAGTGGTTTATTCAATCATGCCTGCGTAATTAGGCCTCCCTAAAAACCCAAAAGGCCAGGGTTTGGGGAGCTTCTGAATAGCCGAACATGTGGGGGTTCCTGGAGGGTGACACCCCGGGGAGGGCACACAAGCTCTGTGCCCCTTCCCCCACACCTCACCCTGTGCATCTCTTCATCTGAATTCTCTGTAATAGCCTTTTTAATAAGCCAGTAGGGTGGGGGGCAAGGCCCTGGGCCCATTAGCTCTTATTCATCACTGGGAACTCCATCAATGCCCAACCCTTAAAAAATAATTAAAAAAAAAAAATTTTGGCAGGGCATGGTGACTCATGCCTGTAATCCCAGCACTTTGGGAGGCCAAGGCAGGCAGATCACTTGAGGTCAGGAGTTCAAGACCAGACTGGCCAATATGATGAAACCCCGTCTCTACTAAAAATACAAAAATTAGCCAGGCATAGTGGCATGCACCTGTAGTCCCAGCTATTTGGGAGGCTGAGGCATGAGAATCGCTTGAGCCAGAGGTGGAGGTTGCAGTGAGCCGATCAGGCCATTGCACATTAAAAATGAGACTCTGTCTCGAAAAAAAAAAAAAATTAAAACCTGCTAAATATAAGTAAATGTTTCCCTGACTTTTGTGAACCACTCTAGCAAATTAATTGAACCCAAAACAGGAGTCGTGGTAACCCCAAGTTGAAGACAGAGTGTCAGAAGTTCTGCAGGCCCAGACCTCAGACTGGTGGGAAGGAAGTGGTGGTCTTGTGGGACTGAACCCTCAACTTGGGGTTTCTGAAGCTATCTCCTGGCAGGTAGCAGTTGGGTTGAACTGAATTGAATTGGTGGGCACCCAGCAGCTGTCCTGTGAGAAATCCCTTACTTGGTCACAGAAATCTTCTGTGTTGACTGTTGTGCACAGTGAGAGTAGAGGAAAACGGTTTGAGTTGGTTTTTCCACACTTGCTACCTGTCCCCAAACAGCAGGGTGGAGAGCATGCGAGCATGCGAGTATGCTCATACCCACCTGGATTAGTTCTCGGGGCCCTGGGGGCTCCTGATCTCCCACTCAGCACCAGGCTACCCAGTGTAAGGTGGCATCTCATGTGAGCTTGCGGTTCTCTAATTACCAAGCGGTCTGAGCACCTCTCGCTACTCCTGTTACAGTTGGGCCTCCTTCCCCTGTTCACAGCCTCTGCCTTTTCTGTTGGGGCTGCTGTCCTTTGTTGGTTTGCAGGAATTCTTTGCATATTTCAGATATTTGCATATTTCAGATATATTTTCAGTTTTAGACGGAGCCAATCTCTTCTGTCTGCTAACTTAGTCCATGGGGCATTTGTCAAGCTAGTCCAGGAGGCGATGTGAGCCCCAGGTGTTCCTGCTGAGCACTATTGCCACGCACAGGGCGCTCCCCTGAGCCAATATTCCCTGTTGTCGGCTGCCACTGTGAGACCCTGACCAACAACAAATGACCAATCCAGAAACACTGCACCTTCTCCCTCCATCAAACCACTCCCGCCCCGTGTCCTGCCATCGGCAGTCCTCCTACCTCCCTCCATCCCCGCCAATGCTGCCCCTGCCCTATAAAATCCAGGATCCGCACAACACACGGGATGGTTCATAAGTGCTCCACATGGGGCCTCGGCCTCCTGGCAGGCAGCTTTCATCTGAGAGTCACAGGGCCCTTTGCTGTCACCCTGATGGTCCCTCCCGCCCCACTGCTCTCCACCAGCCACAGTGCCTCAGTGGCCCCAAGCCCTCACTCCTCTGGACCCTCGCATATGCTATTCCCAGAACGCTTTCCCTGCAGGTCCTGGAAAAATGGCCATGCAAAGGCCTCCTGGATCTTCCATGTTTCACTGTTGGGCCAGTACCCACTGTGTGACGTTGGAGGTGACAGCCCACAGGTGGCACTCCATAAACTCGGTCCCTTGCATTCCACTTCCCCAGGGAGGGCTTCCCCTCCCCAGAGTGTGGGTGGGGTGGCAGTAGCAGAGACAGAGGTAGCACATAGGAGCCTAGAAACAGGAGCTTTATTCTCTAATGTGCGTACGGCAAGTTCCTTACACAATCAAGGAAATGGTTTCTCTTTCAGGCATCGACTCTTTTATTAAAAGAAAATCCATCCTGCTCAGTCCCACCCACCCTGGGCAGAAGTTGCCCTGAGCAATGCTCTTGGCACAAAGCTAAAGGATAATGGGAGGGGTGGGCACATACCACTGCACCCCTACAATGCCCAGATGCCCCAGGCGTGAGTCAGCCATGAGAAGGTGCAGCACAGAGCAGTCATCCACATACCTACACCTCCCCTCACAGCCCCAGAGCCAGCCTGGGAGAACATGGGAAGCTAGCGAATGGGGCGTGGCTAGGGCCTGCCAGTCAAGGCCTGTGCTCAGCATCCATGACATCCAAGTACTTGGCTTCAATTATTCGGGGCAGGAGGATATAGCTGCGGGGAGGGAGGGACAGGAGGATGAGCCTGGATCAGAGAGAAGGCAGTGGCACCCATCCCAGCCCACCCACAGGGCGAGGCTCTAGGCCTCTCCTCCCCGCCTGCCTATCCCAGCCCGCCCACTCTCCACTCCTAGACTGGAGCCGCTCCTATCCACTACCCACCCCAACCCGCCCACTCTACCTCTAGGCTGGGCGCCTCCTGCCCACCGGCCACCCCAGCCCACCTACTCTCCACCCCTAGGCAGGACCCCTCCTCCTGGGCACCCAGCCCAACCCACCCATTCTCTGCCTCTAGGTGGGACCTCTCCTTCCAGCCCCTGCACCAGCCCGCCCATTCTCCACACCTAGACTGGGCCCCTCCTGTCCACCGCCCACCCGCCTGTACCGGATGGGGATCATGGCGATCATGATGAGAGGAAAGATCATCTTCATGTAAGGCAGGGAGCTCATGCCGAAGGCGCACAGCAGCAGCAGCTGCAGCACCTGCAGGCCTGTGAAGTAGTGGATCTTCCTCTGGGGCACCCTCCGGATGTAGTGTGTCGGGGGGTATGTAGTCTGTGGGCAGCAGGGACCGGGTGTGGGCAGGCATGGGGCTGTGTCCCCACCCACACCACTCCCTCACAGGGCCAAGCGCTCACCTGCTCCTTGAGCAGCAGGGCCACGCGCTGGACAAGCTGATTGCCATCGAGAGAGGTGAGCGCGATATAGAGGAAGAGGCCATAGAGCACGGGCTTGGGGATCCACTGAAGCGGGACCGGCAACAGCAGCAGGGACAGGCCCACCAGGACGCTGGCGCCCAGCGAGGTCAGCCGCGTCTCCTTCACATTCACAATCCTGCAGCACCCCGAGCCACCGGCGTCACCTCTGCGCCCCTGTCCACAGGGCCTCATGCCTCCCTATGTCCCATGTGGTCAGAGGCTCCCCACTCCTCAGGGTCCATGGTTCTTGCCTGCCTCACACTCACGTGTCATAGATGTGCCCGTTCTCCACACGCTCCTCCACTAAGGCCAGGGCTCGCACATGCAGCGGGGAGTGGGGGTAGGCGGCATGGATCCAGGGCAGCCCAAACAGAGACAGCCCCGTGTTGATGATGGCGAGGAGCAGGAGGTCCCAGTGGTAGGCAGTGCCCTTCACCAGCCTGCAGCAGACGAGCACTTGTGGACAGAGCCCCACAGCAGGGGCCCAGGCCCCACCCACCCCACCCTTGCCCACCCTCCACACCTGTTCTCCGGTGCGTTCACCAAGGCGGCCACCAAGTTCTGCTCAATGAAGAAGAGCATGGACAGCAGGAAGCCGAGGCCCATGGCGCTGCTGATGGCTCTCAGGGACAGCGACTGGATCTGCGCCATCGCAAATGGGCTCTTGCTGGGGTTGTAGCAGAACTTGCTCACTGCAGCAGGCGACAGGCTACTGCTATGCCTGCAGCGCCTGGGGAGCTACCCCACGCCACCCGCCGCCCGGCCCCAACTCACTCTCGATTTCCCGGAAGCCGTGGGAGCTGATGAGGGAGAAGGCGAGCACCGCGATGGGCAGAGCGCAGTCGGACAGGATCTCGCGCACGCAGGGGTGCAGGTAGGGGCTGGGGACAGCAGGTGCATGAGCACAGCCTTTGGCCTATGTGGCCCCTCCCCTCCCCACGCAGCCCCTCACCTCTTCTTGAATTGGTAGAGGGTGTAGCCCAGCCAGAGTGTGCCCAGCATGATGAGGAGGCTGAGCACAGCGGTCGCCTGGCCTGAGTGCGTGGCCAAGGGCAGCTCCGTGGGGCTGGTCCGGAAGCTGGTGTTGAGGGCAGTGTGGAGGCTGGCGTTGAGGCTGGCACCGAGGCCTGACAGCCTGACCAGGTAGTCGTCCAAGTAATGCCCATAGTAGTACTTCCAGAAGACTGTGGACACAGACCCACAGGCCTCAGCCCTCTCCAACATGTGGCCCTGGAGGGAGGGGATCTCAGGGAGAAAGGGCTTCAGGGGGAAGATGAGGGGACCCTGCCGACATGCCCATGCACCCACACTCCTGCCTACTGTCCCTGTCCCATCTCTGACACCTCATCACAGTCGGCCCAGTGCCTCTGCCCCCACTGCTGATCCCACCTGCGGTGGCCCCATCACCCTCCAGCATGAAGGCCTCTGCCTTCTACCAGCCCAGGGCTCCCAGAGCACTGCACCCTTGACCACGGGCACACACTCAGCTTGAGCTGGTCCTATCTGCCCCCAGCCAGGGGCAGTGCAGAACCTCCCATCTTGCCTGAGTGCCCTGTGCAGCAGGTGGCTCCCAGACGCACTCACTTTTAACTATGCCCTTGACAGCATCCAGCACAAATGTGATGGAAGTGAAGAGAGCAATGATCTCCTCCGTCGACCTGCCAGGAGGTGATGAGCCTCATCAGAGTGGATGTCATCAGGGGGCAGGTAGGGGAGGCCTCCCTGAGCCCCTGCACAGTCCCCTGCCTCCTCCTGCCAGGAAGAAGACCAGGGCCCTAGGCCTTGCCTGAGTCCACCCCTGCCCCTTGGGGCAGTGATATGGTGGGGGCACCCCCATCACCCTGGGGTTCCAGGGGGCTGAGCCAGATCCCAAGCTTTAAGGGTCCCAGAAGCTCACAGAAGGGCCAGTCACCTCTTGAAGAGACTCATGACCAGGCTGAGGTTGAAAAAGGCATAAAGTGTGAGGAAGAAACTATTCCACAGGCCTGTCCACGCATAGAAGGAGCTGAAGTCCAGGTCATAATTATCACAGATGACACGAATCACTGCAGGCAGGGGGCAGGGCGGGTCAGGGCCTAGCAGGAACCAGGGCTCTCAGGCACCATCTCCCGCCTCAGCCCCCACTGCACCCTGGATGTAGAGCGCCAGGGGCGCGGTGGTCAGCAGAATCACCAGTGGCTGCCCGGAGAAGAGCGCGTAGAGCAGGCCCCCGATGCTCTGCCCGGCTATGGTCTTCTGCACATCTGTAGGGGTGGGGAGGTCAGGCGGGCGCTGCAGCCCAGGGCCCTGCCCAGCATACCCCCACCCACCACCTACCACCAGCCCCTCACCAATGGCCCCGTTTGTGTTCTCGTCATTGAGGGACCCGAAAGCGATGGTGGGCAGGAGGCAGGCGAAGTAGAGGAACAGGGTGGTGGTGATGTATTTGCCCACAGCCTTGTTTTTCCCAATAATGCCTAGGAATGGGGGACAGGAGACAGGGTTTGCTGGGGGTGCAGGACAGGCACACGCGTGGGCCCGAGGCCTGGAAAGCAGAGGCCCAGATGGCTCTGCTGACGTACCGTCAGTGAAATCCAAGGGGTACAAGGGGAACCTGCGTGCGATGTCCTCCCGGATGCCCTTCCCGAAACGGACAAAGTCCTTGCACTTTGGGGGCTGGAGGAGAGGACAGAGGGCCTGTTAGCCCTGTCCAGCCCAAGCCCCTGCCAACCCTGCTGGTCCATACCGGCCTCCACCCTGTACCTCTGGGTGTCTGTGGGCAGGGAAGGAGACTGTGCTGTGTTCCTTCATTCTCAGCGCCACTGGACCGTGGCTCACCATGGTGAGCAGCTGTCTCTGATGCACCAAGGCCTCCTTGAATTCCTCCTCTGTGCGGGTCTCCAGGAGCTTCTGGCGGAAGGTGATATCCGAGAACATGGTGGCAAATGTGCGCGCCACCTCCATGGCAGTCTTAGTGCTTTTCTAGGGGTGGAGGACGGGAGTCACATCCACTACCCCTGTGGAACAGAGGAGGCCCTGCCCGGGCCCAGCAGCTGGAGGTGCTCTCCCCATCAACTGGCAGCAGGTTTTCTGTCTGTTTGTTTTTTGTGTTTTTTTGAGACAGGGTCTCACTGTCACCCAGGCTGAGTGCAGTGGCACACTCACGGCTTATCGTAGCCTCCACCTCCTGAGCTCAAGCGATTCTCCCACGTCAGTCTCCTGAGTAGCTGGGACCACAGGCACGCACCACCATGCCAGGCAATTTTTAAATTTTAACTTTTTGTAGAGACGAGGTCTCACTATGTTGACCAGGCTGGTCTCAAACTCCTGGCCTCAAGCAATCCATCTGTCTAGGCCTCCCAAAGTGCTGGGATTATAGGCACGAGCCACTGTGCCCAGATGCTGGTAGCAGGTTTTATTCCACAAAGTTCAGGCATTAGTGTACTCTGCCATGATTTCAACCAGGTCTGCAGAACACCACAACTATCATGGATCTATATTTTTCTTATAAACTCCTGATTTCTTATAAACTCAAGATATTACTTTTGTCCTAAGTAACAAAAGTCTGTGTAATCACAGATAATGAAACCACAATGGAGAAAAATGTTTCCCCAGTTACGTTTCCCCAATGGTATTTGTACTGTCTGTGGGTTTGACTTTCAGAGAGGATCCAAGCCCATCAGGCACTCTGTCTCTCGCCTGGCCAAGGTGAAGCCTGTCCATGAACCATGAACTCATGAACTCAGTGTACGGCCCTCATCACGGCAACCTGCTCACCTAGGGGCAGTGTCTGCCCGTCTGTTGCTCAAACTATAGTCCTGGGGCACTGTGCATGTTTGCTTTAGAAGAGGGCCATGCTTGGCAGGGCATGGTGGCTCATGCCTGTAATACCAACACTTTTGGGAGGCTGAGGCGGGCAGATCACTTGAGGTCAGGAGTTCAAGACCAGCCTGGCCAACATGGTGAAACCCCGTCTCTACTAAAAATACAACATAATTAGCTGGCTGCAGTTTTTTGGCGGTGGGGGGGCCCTGTAGTCCCAGCTACTTGGGAGGCTGAGGTGGGAGAATCACTTGAACCTGGGAGGCGGAGGTTTCAGTGAGCTGAGATCATGCCTCCGCACTCCAGCCTGGGCGACAGAGCGAGACTGTCTCAAAAAATTCCAGCTACTCGGGAGGCTGAGGCAGGAGAATGGTTTGAACCCGGGAGGCAGAGCTTGCAGTGAGCCGAGATTGCGCCACTGCACTCCAGCCTGGGCGACAGAGTGAGACTCTGACTCAAAAATAAATAAATAAATAAATAAATAAATAAATAAATAAATAAATAAAAAAACAAATAAACAAATACAAAACCCCCAAAGAACAGGTCCATGCTGCTGAGGAGGAGCCCAGTGTCAGGGGCTGGGGGATCTGCCTCTAGGCACCAGGCTTTAACTCAGCTCTGAGCTATTGCTCCTTCTGTCAGGGCACCCTGCTGGGGGACACTCCCTCCAACCCAGGGGCTGCCCTTCCTCTCACACCAGCATAGTAGCATCTGGGGAGGTTCCCACCATGTCTGAGATCCCTGAGCACCCCATTTTCACACAGAAGGCTGGGGCAGAAGCACGAGAAGCTAAGGGAAGTTGAAGCTGAAGACCCTGCCAAGGCCTTGGGAGGGGTCCTGGCAATCATCTGTTGAGATTTGTTAAATCCTTTTCCTTAAAAGACTCCCGAAATTGTATCAGTTCCGGCTCCCACAAAAATCACAGTGTTCCAGCCAGGGGGTGTGTGGCCCAGGAAGGAGTAGGGCCCTCAGCCAGCAAATCACAAAGTCAGCCAAGTCAAAGAAGGGCTGAAGGGGTGGGCAGGCCAAAGGAAGGCCCCATGTTGGCATAAGGATAATGGTCAAAAGCATTTCCTTTCAGTCAAGGAAATAGAAACTTTTCCCCAACCCCTGGGGAAATGAGGACTTGCTAGGCCTAGCAAGATGTTTCTGACACACCCACAGGGCCGAGGTGAAGGGGAGGGGAGAGGACCAGGCCTTCAGAGGCCAGGACATGTGGGAGGGGCCCCCAAGGAGAGGGCGGGTAACCTGGGGCCCTCCTTCTTCCCCAGGACGTGGCACTACCCACTCACCGTCTTGGGTGGGGCCAGCACCAGGATGACGAACCGAACCTCACAGGAATTCTCCCCCCAGTTCTGTGGGCGAACCAGGCGGCTGATGCACACATGCCGCTTCTGTAGGGCCTTCAGGGTGCAGCTGGCGGGCGGGGGAGGACACAGTGTACAGTTGCATCCTGGGGAGCTGGGGCTCCCCCACCCAGAACCCCCTCGACCTTGACCCCTGGTAACCTCTGCTAGGGAGGGCAAAGAAGAGCAAATGGGATGGTTCTTGGCAGTGCTTCAGCCCTCTTCTCCCAAGTTGGTTGGGCCACCAGAGCCCCAGGACTCACAGGTGGGCCAGCCTCTGCAGGGCACAGGGGACATGGGATGCCCAGTTCCACTGTGACAAGAAGTGGGGGCCAAGTGGCCCGGCAACTCACATGATGCAGAGCCACGACTGCTGGTAGTGCACCCCTGTCACTGTGGCGGTGACCCCTTGGATGGTATCTGACAGCAGGTGGACTGCGGAAAGAGTAGGCGGAGGGCGGTGGGTCAGCAGCCCCCACCGACGTCCCCGCCCGGGCTGGGAGACCGGCCTCACCTTTACCCTGCATGGGTGCCCCGGCATCGGTGAAGAGCATGGCCATAAGCAGGTCTAGGTTGCAGTCTGGCTCAGCGTTGTCAGGGTCCTGGGCAAAGCGGTGAAGCATGGACCGCAGCACGTTATCCAGGGAGGTGGCCGTCTCGTTCAGGACGATGCTGGCCTGTGCCAGGAAGCCATCTAGGTCGCGGTGCGCACGGATCTCTTCCTTGAAGTTCTTTAACTTCAGGTACTAAGGGGACCCCAGGGACAGAACCACACGGGCCCATGTATGAGATGCTGTCACTGCCTGGTCCCTCCCACCCAGCCAGCTGCAGCAGCCCAGCCCTCAGCCCTTAGCCCTGGGCTGGTATGAGCTCCCTGTTGGGCTGCTCCTGGAGGCGTGGGAAGAGGTGAGCAGCAGGAGGACTCTCAGGGAAGCCACCACCTCAGCCCCTAGGTAGAGGCCCCAGGACCACCTGCAGGATGGGCTGCTCACCTTTCGGGAGGTGTGCAGGAGCACACAGCCACCGGAAGTCGCTTCATTCTCTGCTGGAGAAAAGTGGGGAGGGCTCAGGGTGCCACCCTTTCCTCAGGTCTTTCTTAGTCAGGCAAGTCACACCTGCCCAGTCCCATGCCCTCCCCCAGCCTGCCCCTGCTGCAGCCCCCGTACCAGTGTTGGCGGCCTGCATCTTGAGGTCGACATTAACAAAAAAACGGATGCTCTCACCAGACACAATGGAGGAGTTCGCAGTGTCGAAGGCCTCATCCCCCAGGATCTCCTCTCGGGCTTCGAAGGTGTCATCTGTGTCACACGTGTCATACTTGTAGTAGCGTAGAGACCCAGTTGCTCCCAAGAGAGACCCCCAAGAGCAAGAGGGCCTGGCTGTTAAAGTGCCGCACACAGGAAGGAGGGGCTCCAAGCTCAGGGAGCAAGGACCTCTGGACTGTCCCACTCTTGGGCCGTGATGGGAGAGGCCATCCCACGGGCCAGGAAGGCAGCTTCTAGTCCTGCTCCAGCCTACACAGGACATGGCAGCTGCCACACAGGGACTCTCCAGCATTCCCCAGCCGCTGGGACCAGGACCCTGCGTGGCTTTGACCCTTCAGTGTGAGAAAAACATGTCCACTCCAGACACGCTGGGGCAGGCACGGAGTGCAATAATGCAGGTGAGACTGCCTGGCCCCTGCCCTCCCAAAGTAGGGGACACAGGAAAGACAGAGAAGCTGCCGTATCCACATGGCACTCTCTCTCTCTCTCTCTCACACACACACACACACACACACACACACGCACACACTGCCTTGTGGGCACAGGGTCTTAGAGGTCCCTCTCTACAGGAGGGCAGGTGGGGAGAAACATCGAGGCTGAGAGACCCAGTACACATATCAGACAAGGTCTAGGAAGCAGGAAACCCAGGGAAACAGAGCCAAGGACTGACAGAGGAGAGGACCCCAGGGCCTCATGTCAGCCCTGCCCCCATCGTGCCCCTCCTTCATGTCCTGGGGGCCCTGGGTAAGGGCACATGGAGAGTGAGGATGTGTTATGGCACCTGCGGGATGTGGGACCCCAGAGGTGACAGCCTGCTCCCCTTGGTCCTCAATTCCTGCAGCTGGCCCGCAGCGCACCCCCCTGCCTACAGGAAGATTTCCTGGTAACATGCAAATATTCCTCTGCCCTGAGCACTGCGGGCGGGGGTTCCCTGCAGCCTACAGATCACAGCCTGAGCCAGCTCTGCTCCCCCTGCCCTGACCACTGGCTCCTCAGGCCAGTTGGTCAGCACCCTAGGCATGCCAGGTCCTGTCCTCCAAGCTGAGGGCTTCCCTCCCTGGAGGGCCTTTTTCAAGACTCACTTGGAACCTCCTCCTCCAGGAAGTCCTCCTAGGTCCCTGCCTCACTCCTAGCCACTGGCAGCCCTTCCTGTCTTGTGGGTCCCCTAAGGTTCCTCACTTGTAGGTACTTCCAGGAAAGGGGCCCTTGTAGTTCAGACCCCACTGATGCCTGACAGACACCTGTGCAGAAACAGAGATGGGTCAGCAGCACGCCTGCACCTGCCAGGGAGTGACTCACCCTGACTCATTTCCACTCCCGCCACCAGTTTCCTTGGCACATCCCAGGCCCTGTTCCCCCAGTGTCCTGAGTTTAGCTTGGGCCCCTTCTGGGCAAGAAGCCCCAGTACCTCCTGCATCAAAGTCCCCAAGGACTGGTGACCCCAGGCCCAGGCCTGCACTACCTCCAGAGCCCAGAGAAGAACTATTAGGTCAAAAGACACCCTTGCGTTTGGGAGGCCAAGGCAGGTGAATCACGAGGTCAGGAGATCGAGACCATCCTGGCTAACACGGTGAAACTCCGTCTCTACTAAAAATGCAAAAAGAAAAATTAGCTGGGCATGGTGGCGGGTGCCTGTACTCCCAGCTACTCAGGAGGCTGAGGCAGGAGAATGGCATGAGCCCGGGAGACGGAGCTTGCAGTGAGCCGAGACTGTGCCACTGCACTCTAGCCTGGGCGACAGAGCGAGACTCCGTCTCAAAAAAAAAAAAAGAAAAGAAGAAAGACATCCTCGCTGCTTTGGTTCTGGAGCTCATGACAAACTCCTTCCTCCCCGTGTTAGGCTTGCCTTGTTTAAACTGTCTGGTTCCCCTGGCCCAAACTGGTCCTCTGCCCCTCAACCGGCACCCACTAGTCCCCTCCACTGCCCTTCACACAGCCCCATTCTTCCCCCATTCTCTCCCTGATGCCCTGAGCTCTACCTTAGGCTCAGTGCTCAGGTCCCCTAGATGAAGGAAATGCCCAGCTGACACTACCAGGTCCCTGGAGGGCTCCTGCAATGCCAAGTCCTAGTCCCAGCCCCATATGTAACCTGCCCACCAGCAGCCTAGCACACAGAGCCCCCACGTCCTGGGGGCCCTGGGTAAGGGCACATCAGCCCTGTGTCTACGCACTGCTCTACAAACACCCCTCGAATGGTCAGGCCACTCACGGGGCTGGGCACAGGACACAGCCTGAAGCCTGCCCAGAGACATGGGGAGGAAGACAGCTGGACTGGTACAAGCAGGGACAACAGGAAGGTGCCCGAGGGACGGCAGCACAGAGGCCTTATATTTCTTTAAAGAGACAACAACAGCCATTCCCTCCAGGGCTGGGTGAGGACAGAGGGATAGGGGCATACAGAATACCTGGCCCAAGGCTAGTCAGATAACAGGCCATTGTCACAGAAAACCTTGGGGAAGAACCCCAGAGGGTCCACCTGGTCCAAGTAGCCCAGGAGAAGGGGCAGCCTGCCCTCTCAGGTCCACGGGGGATCCGTGTCTAGCTTCCTGGAGAGTGGAAGCCAAAAGCATTCCAGCACTAGAGTGGCCCAGACAGGCGACCAAAGCCACAGGACTCTGGTGGGTAGGCTACACGCCCTGGAGGCTTTTGCCCGACAAGCTCTCTCTGCACAGGCATGCTCCCCGAGAGGTACTCACTTGAATCCTCGAAGTATCCATTCTGCGACATGCTGGGAGAGTTTTCTGCAAGGGAAGCCAAAAGGTCACCAGCTCCATGGACCAAGCCCTGGACCTCCTGTGTACACCTGTCTCCCCGCCCCCCAACCTGGCTGATTCCTTCACTCTTCCCAGGGATGCAACCCAGGCCACCCTAGGGAGAAAGGGTAGCAGGGGACAGTGCTCGGGAGGGAGCCTCATGGGGAGCAGGGGAAGCCAGCCTTAATCTCAGAAATTCAATTCCTTAGCCCATCTGTTAGGGGCTGCCCAGGGGGGTCAGAGGCGAGGAGAGGCGTTCTAGGGATGTCTTTCCACCGAGTTGGTACCAGTACCATGTTCGCTAATCCAGGCTTTCCTGACAAAACCCTGCCCCGCTGCAGCGGGAGGAAGGGACAGGGCCTGAGCGCTCCTCTCCCCCTCTCTCCTCCGCTGCCAAGGCAGGGGATCTCTCCGCACCTCCCTCCTCTCACTCTCAGACCGGTTCTGACGGCCATAAACGTCCATTGCAGGCGCAGTTCCCCCGACCCCCGTCACGCGCCCTAGGTCACACCGGGGCCGACAGGCAACGGTCTCCAGCCCTGGGACCGCGTCCCCACAGCCTGGAAGGCAGAGCAGTTGGTCCAAACGGTAGAACAATTAGGGGTGGGAGGAGAGTCTGAGGGACACTGGGGTCGGGGGAGGCTGCGCCCTCCCTGGGCCGGGCCCCGGATGGTCCCGGCTGTTTCTGCCTCGCGGTCGGAGGAAGGAAGCGACAGGGGGGGCCGCGTGCACGAGAGGAAAGCGCCTCCAGACTCGGGAGACCTGGGGGGTCGGGGCGCAGGATGTGAATGTAGGCGTGGGGCTGGAGCCGGTGCTGCATCCTGAAGTGGGGGGCGGGGGCGCTGGGGCGCGTCCCAGGCCGCGGGAGGGACAGCGGCCGTGGGCGACGAGGGTCTGGGAGGGTTGGGCTGGTGCACACTCCGTTTCCGTCCCGGCGGCCCACGTGCAGGTAAAGGGTCGTACAACCTGGGTCCTGGCCGGGAGCCAGGGCTGGCCCTCCGGTGTCAGAGCAAGGGAGAAACTGCTGCGGCCGCGTAGGGCACGGTCAGGGGTCCCGGGACTCTCAAGACCAAGCGGCCCCCACCGCGGCGTCGGGCGGGAAGATGCCCGGGCGGAAGGTAAAATGAGACCTTCCGAGGTGGCAGCCCGCCGGGCTCCCAAAAGCTCGGCGCTCGGGGCACTGGGAGCCCCACAGCTCCGCCCTGCCCACTTTCGAGCTCCCCGCCCTCGACCCGCTGCATCATCTGCTCAAACTGGGTAAGAAATTCAAGACGGCGACAGCAGAGCTCTAATGAAACCAAGAGCGCAGTGGCCGCGAAGCCGCGCCCGGGCCTCCCGCACCGGTGCCCTCCTCCCCGCGGCTGGAAACTCCGCAGCCCTCTCGCCCACCGGCCCCGGCCCGCGCAGGCCGACGGCATCCGCGTTCTCCCTGGGGTCCCCGACGGCTCCTCGTCCCCGCCTGGCCGGCCTCGGTGGCGGAGACCTGGGCGGCCTTTCCGCCGCGCCCCCGGGTTCAGGCACCCACCGCACGGCTGGAGATGGAACACGCGCCTAGTGGCCGCGGCCATGGCACACTAGTGCACTCACGCCGCGCTCCGGCGTTTCTGGACCCCAAACTCGGCGACTCGGGCAGGCCAGCAGCGGGAGCCGGCGACACACCCCCGCGCCGCGCCTGGGTCCTAATGCCGCTCAGACGCCACGCCCGGGCGCGGGAGGCAGAGCTGCCGAGGGCTGGGACCCGGCCGCCCGCCCGCGCCCTCACCCGCGGGAGGCTGGTCCAGCCGGGCCGGGCTGCTTCCCGCCGCCCGCAGCTGCTGGGCCAAACCGAGTAGACCCGGTTCCTTCGAGCCTGTGCGCACCGGACCCAGCGAACCCAGCGTCGCGGGGTTACTGGCTGGACAGGGCTGGGAGCTTCTGGGAAGACGCTCGACTAGCCCACGAACCCACCGAGCTGTGCGACTGAGGCAGACCCCTAGAGGGCTTTCCCCGCGTCCGCTTTAAGTACGCGGCCGGCCCCTGTCTCCTCCTTTCGACCCGGGACCTCCGCAGGGCCACGCCCGCTGGCTGCCCCGCCTCCTGCATTTATCCCCGTAGCTCCGGCGGCAAGTCCTCCTCCTCCTCCTCCTCCAGGAAGCGCGCCCCGAGTGACTAGACGGACCTCCGTGCAATCCCCGCTACGCCCTGGCCCGCTGAGACGGCGCTCTCCGAGCTCGGCTGCTTTGGGTTTGCTCGCTGCGAGCCTCGCCAGCTTCTCTACCGGCCTTTTCGCGTCCTCCGGCCTTCTATTAGGTGAAGGTCATGGTTCGCCGCCTCTTTCCTTCCCAAAATGGCCCCTGCGCCCTGTCTCCTTTCCTGGACCGGCTGCACCCCGGCCGGGGACGCGCCTATTTGGATGCTTAGTCTCCTGCGAATAGGGCGTGTTCGCGTGTGGCTGCGCGCGCTGCGATGCGGTTTAGCAAATGCAGCTGACGAACCCCTGGCCTGATCCACGGTGGCTCCCAGTAGAAAGCTCCACAGCCCTCGGAAACGGAACACGCGGCTCCGTAAAGCGCTAACCAACCTCCCGATCCCTCCGGCCGCCCGCGCTTTCCGGCTCAGCAGCTCTGGGACGGAGTCCTCGGCCACTGTGCCCCAGCCATGGCAGAGGAATTGGGTCAGGCTGGGGCAAGCCCACTGCGAAGGAAGGGCTCCTGGCGCGTTGGGGAAGCCTCATGCATAGATTGGGTTAGTAAGGCCGGCCCAGTTCCCCTCCCGGCAAGATAAGAACGCATTAGGAGGGAAGCACTGGAGTGCTCCTCTGGGCGACGGATGGCCTGGGGCTCCAAGACGGCCCCAGTACACCACCCTCCTCCAGCGCCACTCCAGGAGGCCTTGTGGAAGATCCCAACCCCATGACCTGCAACTGACTTGGGGCTGGCCACATACTATTTTAGAAGGGGTAACTCGGGAGAAACACCAGGTCATCCTGCGCATCCCTTGGGACCTTTCCTAGGTGACCTCTAGCTAGAGCTCCAGTCCAGGCACTGACTCCCGGGTGGCTGGTGGAGGCTGAGGAAGAGCTGAAGGACACAGGCGGATGTCGCCCCCGGAGCATGGCTGCATACGTGGCATGCAGATTGGACCCCTGAAAAGCCACCTTGCGAACCCCAGCCTCTCCCATCTGGGAATGCCTTGGCTTCTGCACCTGCTCCCAGTAGCTCCCAAACACCTGGTTCTTCCAACCCACTTGTTCCAGGAAAGCCTCTGGAATGGAGGGTGCTTCCCCTCCCACAGCCTCCTCAGTGCTCCTCAAAGGACCTAACCCCTCAGCCCACTGAGGAAAGAGGAGCCCACAATCAAGTCTCCCCTAGTCGGCTATGGACCCACTCTGTCCGCTCCTGACCGTCTCTCAAAGGAACTGGCACTGAGCCCTTCTCTGCTACACCTGTGCTCCTCCCCTGCGTTTCTGTTCCCTCGACCCTCCTGTAGGGAACCCCTGAGGCCCACACCCCTGCTGCCTCCAGACTGACCCTGTTTCAGAGGCTGTTTCCTTCAGTTCTCCCACCTGCCTCCTGTCCTGTGTAGATCAGATGCTGAAGGCAAATACAGGTGCCCTGGATCTCCTGTCCTGTGCCCCACTGGGTCCTTAACATAGGCAGGCAGGTTGAGGGACCCAGATGCAGGCACCTACTTTCCCTCTCATTCCCTCCTTTGGGGTCTCAGACTTCACTGGGCCGTGGACTTGAAACTGTAACCACTGGGTTCCACAACGTGCACTTAACAGTTTTCTGCTGTCCTCCCCTGATGCCGCTTATCTTGCCTGTGGATTGTGGAATCTGGGGTCTGAAGTAAATATATAACATCTCATTTTTAGGCTGGGCTTGGTGGCTCACACCTGTAATCCCAGCACTTTGGGAGGCCGAGACGGGCGGATCACGAGGTCAGGAGATCGAGACCATCCTGACTAACACGGTGAAACCCCGTCTCTACTAAAAAATACAAAAAACTAGCCGGGCGAGGTGGCGGGCGCCTGTAGTCCCAGCTACTCGGGAGGCTGAGGCAGGAGAATGGCGTAAACCCCGGAGGCGGAGCTTGCAGTGAGCTGAGATCCGACCACTGCACTCCAGCCTGGGCGACAGAGCAAAACTCCGTCTCAAAAAAAAAAAAAAAAAAAAAAAAAAAAAAGGAGAATGGCGTCCCCGGGAGGCGGAGCTTGCAGTGAGCTGAGATCCGGCCACTGCACTCCAGCCTGGGCGACAGAGCAAACTCCGTCTCAAAAAAAAAAAAAAAAAAAAAGAATTAGCTGGGCGAGGTGGCGCACACCTGTAGTCCCAGCTACTCGAGGCTGAGGCAGGAGAGTCACTTGAACCCGCAGGCGGAAGCAGTGAGCCAAGATTGTGCCACTGCACTCCAGCCTGGGTGACGGAGCGAGACTCTGTCTCAAAAAAAAAAAAAAAAAAAAAAAAAAAAAAAATTCCCTTAAAGTCCCTTCCCCTCTGGGTGCTGCCTTATCCCCTCAGCTACATTTAAGAGGAAGTTTCTCCAGAGCTCCATGCCCCTCCTGCTATGTCTCTTCAACTGACTCATACCTGTCTTTTGTCCCCAGCACATCGCTGAAACTGCTGCTGCACAGGTCACCCCACCTTGGCTTTCTTGCCCTCCCTCCAACAATACCTAGTATCACACAGGCCTCTTCTTTCCATTTTATTTATTTTTTATGGTGTCAGTGTCATTTGCCAAGGGATCCCCTTTTTCTTTTTCTTTTTTTTTTTTTTTTTTTGAGACAGAGTCTCGCTCTGCTGCCCAGGCTGGAGTGCAGTGGTACAATCTCGGCTCACTGCAACATCCACTTCCCGGGTTCAAGTGATTCTCCTGCCTCAGCCTCCTGAGTAGCTGGGATTACAGGCGCTAACCACCATGCCCAGATAATTTTTATATTTTTAATAGACACAGGGGTTTCACCAAGTTAGCCAGGCTGATCTTGAACTCCTGACCTCAGGTGATCTGCCTGCCTTGGTCTCCCAAAGTGCTGGGATTACAGGTATGAGCCACTGTGCCCGGCCAGCTGACTGTTAAGTGTGATATCTCCTGCCCACACACCACAGGCTCTTTAGCCCTCCTCCCCCCATGGCTAATAGACAATTCAAATGAAATTCAGGGAAAATAGGGCTTCTGGCCCAGCGCAGTGGCTCACACCTGTAATTCCAGCACTTTGGGAGGCCAAGGCGAGTGGATCACCTGAGGTCAGGAGTTCGAGACCAGCCTGGCCAACATGGTGACACCCTGTCTCTACTAAAAATACAAAAATTAGCCAGGCATGGTGGTGCATGCCTGTAGTCCCAGCTACTAGGGAGGCTAAGGCGGGGGGATAGCTTGAGCTCGGGAGGCAGAGGTTGCAGTGAGCCAATATTGTGTCACTACTCCAGCCTGGGTGACAGAGTGAAACCCTGACTTTAAAAAAAAAAAAAAAGAAAGAAAGAAAATCGGGCTTCTGAGTCTGCTGTCCACCCGCAGCCCCAGACCTGGGGGTCAGCCCGACTCATCCACATCTAATCCATGAGCAAATTTTGTTCAAAACAGAATTGGAATCTGCCCGCTTGCACCTCCAGCTTGGTCTATCATCTGTCTCTGACTGGCCCATTCTTTACCTCCAGTGGCTTCTCCAACACAGAAAAGAAAAATGCCAGCTGGGCGCAGTGGCTCACACCTGTAATCCCAGCACTTTGGGAGGCTGAGGTGGGCGGATCACCTGAGGTTGGGAGTTTGAGACCACTGACCAACATGGAGAAACCCCATCTTTACTAAAAATACAAAAAACTAGCGGAGCTTGGTGGTGCATGTCTATAATCCCAGCTACTCAGGACACTGAGGCAGAAGAATCGCTTGAACCTGAGAGGCGGAGGTTGCAGTGAGCCGAGATAGTGCCATTGTACTCCAGCCTGGGCAACAAGAGGGAAACTCAGTCTCAAAAAAAAGAGAAAAAATAAAAAGAAAAATGCCAAACTCCCTGCTGTGGCCTACAGAGGGGGCTGCTGTACAGCCTACACCCTGCCTAGTCCCCCACTTCATATCACACCTCTTGCTCCCAGGAGAGCACTGCTCCAACCACAGTGGTTGCTGGAGGCTATTCCACCCACCAGCCTGCAGCCCCTGCCTGCTTCCAGACCTTGATGTCTGTAGGCCAGGAATTCATGAACTCTTACTGAAGCTCATTTAATTTTTCAGATCTCAGAGGCCTTCCATGGCCACCCCATCTAAAGCAGGTTCCTACTGTCCTTCTGCCACAGACCTTCATGGCCTTTAACTCTTTAGCAGGGCCACCTTCATCCTTCTTACTGTACTGCTGGGTCCTGTCTCCCTGGCTAGCCCGTGAGCTCCCAGAAAGCAGGACTGTGTTTCTCCTTGGCCAGTGCAACTCTGCATATAGTAAGTGCTCAATAAAAACAAAAAGTAGGCCAGGCACGGTGGCTCACACCTGTAATCCCAGCAATTTGGGAGGCTGAGGCAGGCAGATCACCTGAGGTCGGGAATTCAAGAGAAGCCTGGCCAACGTGGTGAAACTCCGTCTCTACAAAAATAAAAAAATTAGTCGGGCATGATGGCAGGTGCCTGTAATCCCAGCTACTCGGGAGGCTGAGGCAGGAGAATCACTCGAACCTAGGAGGTGGACTTTGCAGTGAGCCAAGATCGTACTATTGCACTCCAGCCTGGGCGACAGAGTGAAACTCCATCTCAAAAACAAACAAACAAAACAAAAC